CCTAGCGCCCTGTATGTCGCAGTAAGTCATAATGCTGATTATCTGTTTGCGTGACTGTGAGTCATGCCTGTATCGCCCTCAGACTGTAAGCTCCCTGAGGCAGGAGCCACACCTGCATTGTTTGCCATTGAGTCCCCGGGCCCTACCACAGTGCCTGCACATAATTATGAAAACCAGTTTTATGTAAGTCACTTACAATTACCTATTCTCACAGCCAGAATTAATATTTTATTTTTCCTTATACTGAGACCTTAAATGTATGGAAGCACAAATATAGAACATAGTTATTGTTAGTCACTTCCATATGATTTTTAGATATTTTATTTCTCTACATTATTATTTCCTATGTTACATGCCCTATTCCAAGCATTTTATAGGCCTCACTCCCCCTAATTTAATTTTTTAAATTATTTGTTTTTCAGTTACAGTTGACATTAAATATTATTTTATATTAGTTTCAGGTGTATAGCATAATGGTTAGACATTTTTATAATTCATGCAGAGATACCCCGCCCCCCATCAGCCTAGCACCTACCTGGCACCATACATAGTTATTACAATATTATTGACTATATTCTCTATGTTGTACTTTACATCCCTGTGACTATTTTGTCATTACCAATTTATATTTCTTAATCCCTTCACCTTTTTCACCCAGCTCCCCAACCCCCCTCCTCTCTGGCAATCATCAGTTTGTTCTCTGTATCTATGACTGTTTCTGTTTTGTTTGTTCATTTATTTTGTTCTTTAGATTTTACACATAAATGAGATCATATGACATTTGTCTTTCTCAGCCTGACTTATTTCACTTAGCATAATCCCCTCTAGGCCTATCCATGTTGTCACAACCCCCCAATTAATCTTCATAGTAATCATCTGAGGGTAGATGCTATCATCAGCCCACTTTTCTAAGATGAAGACTCAGAGAAGTCAGGTAACATGACAGATGATACACCTAGGACTCAATCAAACCAAGGCTTTTATGATTCTTCATGACTATGCCTTACTGCCTCTTTACAATCAAATGCATTTTTAGAAGGCCCTGTTTCACTGTTGAGTCATTTTCTTGTCATGTGCTTACTTAGTCAGATATTCATTAAGCGCCTATGATGTGCGAAGCTGGTGGTGTGAACAGTTTTCATGACAGAGTCTCTTCCTGTGGCATACACGATGCAGAGGGGGAAACAGACAACCAGCTGGCCTGCACAGAGTCCACTAAATGATGAGGAAGAACAGGGTTCTAAGGTGGCATGTTGAAGGGCACAAAACCTCAAGGTGGAAGATTCAGAAAGACATCCTTGAATAAGTGGTGTTGATACTAAGGTATGACAGACGAGGTGTAGATGAGAAGCTACATGGTTACTAAACTAATTAGGGGATCACTTCATAAATTATATAAATGTCTAACCACTCTGCTGTACACCTAACACTAATATAAAATAGTATTGAATGTCAACTCTCACTGAAAAATAAAATAAAGAAAAATTTGTTAAAAAGTGGGACCAGATCTAAAAGGACCTTGCAATCAATATTGAAGAGATGGATTTCAACTTGATGGGAAGTTATTAAAGAACTTTACGCATCATACCAGTGACATGTCAAATGTGCAGTTCAGAAATATCACTCTGGCTACAGTGTTTAGAAAGAACTGGAGTGGAGAAAGAATGACAATGAAAGAACTGACTTAGTCAAACCAGTATGAGATAATGGTGATAGCACTGGGTGATGGAATTGGGTCCATGGAAATGGAGGAATTTGTGATATTTAAGGGATAGAGTCCATAGGACTCAATTATTGATAGCATGTGAGATGTGAGGACCCAGGGATAAAATCCAGATTCTAGCTGAGCCGTAGGAAGGGGTGAGGGAGCTGGGGCCATTCATCAGGGATGGGAATCCCAGAGAAATGGAACGCCAAGAGACAGAGGAGATGAGTGCAGTTCAGGCAAACAGAAGCTGACGTGCCTGAGGGACCAAATCCCCCACTACCCCAACTCAAGGGCATGTTGGCCACTTCTGTGGGCCCATATGATTTCACCCCTGGGAACCCTGAGAGCATCCCTATGCCCTACAAAGGCTCACCAGGAGAGACCTAGCCATTGAGAGTCCCTCCCTCTGCCAGCAGCCATGTCTCTTTCTTGGCTTGTAGCCATTTCTCTGCTATGCTCAAGTTCATAGTCCATGTGCCTCTTCTCTGATGCCTGTTTTACATGATCCATAGTCAGGAACCAGATGAGATTAGGTCAGTAGCCTACTTCCCATTGTGACCTGGCCACAGATACCAATCAGGACAGTAGGCTAGATCTTATCATCACTGCTCTTTTTGCATCCTGCACCCAGACATATCTCCAAGGAGTAGAACCAGAGGAGCTGTAGATCAAATATATAGGGAACAGTAGTAGGAGTCCGAACTTTTTCCTTCACAAAATTAAGTAAATAAATTCAACTTGTAGATGCCATTGCTTTGAAAGTGCCTTGGTTGCTAGATTGAAAACTTGGATAAATAATATTAAAAATACAAATAATTTCCTTGTTGTGTGATCTACAGAGAAGGTTGCAAATTCAGGATCCCATCAATATGAATTTATCCAAATTTAAGTAACTCAGTTGGAAAAATGGTTGGTATTCCTCTGCCTCAAACCAGAGATATGCAAAAAAAATTTTGTTGACATGACTCCCATTGTGCTTTGGTTCATGTATTGTATCTGCTTTTGACCATGCGTTTCACATTTAAAGAATACCATCCCCACTTTATAAATGAGGAAAGAGGCTCTAAATCTTCGAGGCTAAGAGGGTATGCACTTGTAGTAGAAGATCCAGATTTGGACCAAGATTTTGGACTCCAAGTCCAGGAGTTCCATAGGTGTTAAGTTTTGTTTTTTTAAATATAGTGTCAGAAAAGCACAAAGATGTCAAAGACTAAAACTTGGGAGCTGGTGATGGAAAAGCATACATATGTGGAGGGCACATTTCTCAGGAACTGAAACATAAGTATATACTTCATTGAGAAAGACAACATATTTATTTTCAAATGTAAAAGCATAATGAACAATGAACCTTGAAGTTGGTGAAGTTGGGGAGAAACTGGAACTGTCATACACTGTTGATGGGAATATAAAGAGTACAACTACTTTGAAAAACACTTTGGAAGTTTCTCAAAAATTAAATGCACACCTAACATAGCCACTTCCTTTCTAAGTATTTACCAAGAGAAATGGAAGCATATGTCTATACAAAGATTTGTACGTCTTTGTTTATAGCAACTTTATTCAGAATCACCAAAAAACCAATACAACCCAAATGTCCAGCAACAGATGAGTTGGCAACCAAGTTGTGATACATCCATATAATAGAATACTATCCAGCAACAGAAAGGAGCAAACTATTGATACATGCAACAACATGAATGACTCTCAAAATAGTTACACTAAGTAAAGATATCCAGACCAGGGGTGACCAGTTAGCTCAGTTGGTTAGATCATTGTGTTGATAAAACCAAGGTTGCCTGTTTGACCCCCACATGGGCCACTGTGAGCTGCGCCCTCCTTAAAACAGTCAGCTGTGCCACTGTAGCATGAAAGCAATGTGTAACTAACGACCATGGTTGTTCCCCAATAAAATTTTAAAAATGTATATCCAGACCAAAAAAAAAAAAGATACCCTGAATAATTCCAGCTAATAGAATTCTAGAAAATCATGACAGAAAGCAGATCTGTGGTTGCCTGGGACAGGGAGTGGAATGGATTACAAAGGAGCACAAGGAAACTTTTGAGGGTGATGGACGTGTTCATTATCTTGATTGTGAGGATGGTTTCTGGGATGTCATAAGACCTCAGGGCAAACAGAAATAGAAATGCACTTCTTGACTATCCTAGTGAAAGTAACAATGACTTAAGTTAAATGAGCTCATCAGTAATGTAGCCAAGAAACTGTTTGTTCTTGACCAGCATAGTTAATTGATCTGTATTTCCTTCTGCTGCTGCATTGTAGCAGTAACTTTTCATCCCCGCCCCCAACCTCCTGCCTACCTTAATTCCCCTTTTTTCTTATTTCAAAGTTTACACTACTAAAAATATATAAAGGAAAATATTTTAAACTCTCAAATGCAGTTTTGATATCCTTTCAAATACTAGAGTCGAAGAATTTAAGGGTTGTTTTTCTCTCCTTTTTGTAAGTGTTAGCATGTACAATGGGAAAATGCTTTTCAGCCAGATAGACTTGTTAACTATAAACACAAGTAGTATCTACGTCAAGTTGCTGAGCAACTAGATCTTAAATGTTCTCACCACAAAAAGGAAGTAATAATTATGGGACATGATGGAGGTGTTCGCTAATACCACGGTGGTAATCATATTGCAATACATAAATGTATCAAATCAGCACATGATACACCTTCAAATTACACAGTTATATGACAATTATATGTCAATTTTTGAGTTTCAACTGTTTTTTGGGTTTTGGTTTCTTGTTTTTTTTTTAGCTGAGCCATCTTGGCAGCTCAGCGGCAGCTCAGCTCGGGCCGGGAATCAAACCGGCGACACTGTTGCTCAGAGCTCGCATTCTTGAGCAAGCTCTTAACCAACTGAGGCACTCGGCCGGCCCTATATGTCAATTTTTTTAAAGAAGCCAGACAGACTGAGGCTTAAATGCCTCTTTTGACATTAACGGGGCTTGGACCTTTGTGTTTTATCAGTTAACTTCCCTGATCCTGTTTCCTCTCATGTAATGTGGGGATGACAGCTGTACTTCAAAGGTCATTATGAAGATTAGAAATAACTATCTACTGTGGTGTTCAGTAAGTCATCTGCTGGCTATTGTACCCCAACTCCTTGAACATCATGCACTATGTACATATACTTATGTCAACCCTTACAATAGTCAGGTACATATCGAAGCCTGAGTCACCTTAACCAAAGAGGACAGGTGGTACACGTAAAATAATGACTTTACCTTTCCATGCACTTTGGGCTGATGTGTTCCCTCTGTTTTAATTGTATGTAGTGCACCTGGTGGACATTTGGAATGTCATAGAAGCACTGCGAGAAAATGCTCTGAACAACCTGGACCCAAACGTAGAACTCAACGTGGCCCGCTTGGAGGCTGTGCTCTCCACCATTTTTTACCAGCTCAACAAACGGATGCCAACCACTCACCAAATCCACGTGGAGCAGTCCATCAGCCTCCTGCTTAACTTCCTGCTGGCAGCCTTTGATCCGTAAGTGCCTTCTGAGTATCTGTTACTTTCTACAGGTTCCATCTACCCATCCTCTTGTTCTTATTGGTCTTAATTCCAAATAATTTTCTGGAGTAACCTACAGCCTCTTTTTTCTTGGTTAGATACTTATCTCAATAAAGTTTCTCTCTGTTCAACATAAATTTTAAATGCTGTGGAGAAGACTGGAAGGTAAAATAGTGCCATAAAAAATTCAGTACAGTTGTAGTTTATGTGCTGACCTTTATTTAACTCATCCCACACTTTCAAGAAGCTATGGCTACTTGAAAGTGTTGCATGATGGCATGCCTGTGAAACGAGTTAATGAAGCATGAAGTGGGGAGGATGTTTTTAACTTCCTTCTTTGCAAATTGCCTGAGAGAGTGTTTCTGAGGTGTCGTAAACAAGACCCTAGAGCAAATAGTGAGAGATTGAAAATGGTTTCTTGACCAGCCTGGTGAAAGTAGCCATGACTTGCATTAAATGGACTGGTCAACAATGTGCCACATAAAACAATATTATGCCATCCACCCACTACAAATGAAACTCAGCCTCATTATCCTATAATTTCCCCTCATAGAATTAGAGAATTTCAGAGCTGGATGAGATCTTAAAGACTATTCTTCCAAATCTTTCATTTTACAGATGAAGGAACAGAAACACAAAGAGCTTGTCACTTGTCCAGTGCCTCTCAGCATGTTAGTGGTAGAGTGGGAACTTAGGTATTCAGCTAAGGTTTCTTTTCCAAAACATATGTGGCAGCCTTGTGAAATGTAAAAACCCCTGAATTACATTCTCAGCCTAAAATTTCAAAGGGGCTTTTACTGATAGCCCCTGGTCTAGATAGCGTATCAACACCTCTAATTTCACTACTGGTTTTGAATATTAAAAAGGAAAAGTATGAAATTGACCTTTCAGCAATCACATTTTAAGACTCTCAGAAGATTTTTCTCAGTCTCATTATCTGGCCAATGCTTGGGAATATTTAAGCCCGGCAGTGGAGATGTTCCAGCAAGGCTAATGTTATTATGTCACTCTCTTACAAGTCACCAGCTGTCACTTTGCAACCTAGAGTGGTAACAGAATTGTTTGTGCTCAGTTTAACCAGAATACATTATTGTCTCCATGATGTTTATATTTTGAGAAAGTCTCGAGTTGAAATAGACAATTTTAAAACAAGCAGCCCAACATGATAGATTCCATGCTTAGTCTGTGCAGACTTCAGAATTGATGTACTGATTTGGGCTAATCACTATGGTAACTGAGCAGGGTAGGTAGAGAGGCTGTGGTTCCACATGACAGGTAGCAGAATGGAACCAGGCCATGAAATTTCTGTCCTGTCCCCTTAACAAGAGCAGGGCAGCTTTCAGACTTGCCACACACGTCTTCAGGGAATTTATTTGTTTTAAGTGTAACAATAGAAAATATAAAAAGAAAAATATTCTTTCCTGCTAAATCTTGGAGTATTGCTAGAGGATTCATAAGACATCAAAGCCAAAAAAATAATTTAGACCCACTCTATAAATACATAAAGAGGGCCATATTAACAATAAAGGAGGGGGTGGAGGGTTGTAAAATAATGGGACTTAAACTAATAGGGTTAGGGGGCCGGCCGAGTGGCTCAGTTGGTTAACAGTTGCATTGGGAGTGCAAGCTCTGAGCTGCAGGGCCGCTGGTTCAGTTCCCACATGGGCCAGTGACGCTGTGCTCTCTACAGCTAAGATTGTGAACAACGGCTCAACCTGGAGCTGGGCTGCTGTGAGTGGCCAGCTACAGCGTAGGATGCAGTGGAGCTGCAGTGGGACGCCATGTGCTACTGTGAGTGGCCGACAGCCATGAGCCACCGTGAGCTGCTGTGAGCCACTGTGAGCGGCCGTCTGATGGCCGGCAACCGACTGCCTCAGCCAGGAAGAGTACAATGATGATAATACCAACATGGGCCAGTGAAGCAGTGTTCTCCACAAATAGACTGAAGAACAAATGGACAGCAACTTGTTTGTTCCCCTTCCCTGATTCCCCAGTGCTGTTCCCCTCCCCCCAATTCCCCAATAAAATCTTAAAAAAAAAAAAACTAATAAGGTTAGATTTTTCACCTTTGTTTAGAAATATTGGGAAGATCATTTCAAAATATAGAGCTGTAAGTGTTCTTTAAATAATGATAATGATATGACTGAATTATTTAAACATTGATGAATGCTAAGTTTAAGGACTCTACCAAGGTAAGGAGCAGTTCACACAGGTACTCAGAAGAAATGTTTGCTTGGTTCCTACTCTTCATATGGATAGGAAGGCCACTAATGTATGAAGTCTGACAATTAAGTACGGGAACTCATCCTAGAAAAAGTGCTACATACCTCATTGCTGAATATCATACAGTCACCTTCGAAGTACTCCCCTTGGAAAGCTATGCACCAATGCCACAGCACCTAGCCCACCCTTCAGAGCAATTTTGGAACTCTTTTTCTGGAATGGCCATCAGAGCTGTTATTGTATTACCCTTGATATCCTGAATGTCATCAAAATGTCTTCCTTTCAATATTTTCTTTATCTTCGGGTAAAGAAAGAAGTCATTGGGGGCCAGATCAGGTGAGTAGGAAGGGTGTCCAATACAGTTATTTGTTGACTGGCTAAAAACTCCCTCACATACAGTGCCGTGTGAGCTGGTGCATTGTCGTGATGCAAGAGCCATGAATTGTTGGCGAAAAGTTCAAGTCATCTAACTTTCACGCAGCCTTTTCAGCACTTCCAAATCATAAACTTGGTTAACTGTTTGTCCAGTTTGTACAAATTCATAATGAATAATCCCTCTGATATAAAACAAAGTTTAGCAGCATCATTGCAACAAGTTCGAGAACTTAATTGTCAGACCTTCATATACTTTCAGTAATCTCATTGTAGTAGATTTGTAAACACATCCACATAAAGAAATCCCATTGTGGAGATGTATAGACATGTCTACATAGAGACTCAGTCTGCAGATACTTCTGCCTTCTGTCCTTTGATATAGCAAATGAGTATAAGTAGTTCTTCATATACCCAAATTTTCCATCTGATGGCTTTTCGGGTTTTAGACAATCGCAGTTGTAAGCTATTACTTGTAAGCTGACACCTGAAAATATAACATACAAGTGAATATGAGAAGAGAAACAAGAATAAAATGAATGTTCAGTTCTACCTCTTGTAATAGTAAAGTCCTGTTTATCCAAATGAGATCCAGTATGGAAATCTGAGGTCACTTCCTACAACCTATCCCATGACAAAATGACAGGACACCAGTGTTTAAGTGAGCCATCTGTATTTTGGTAGACATGAATGAGCCTGATACTACTGGGTTGTCGGAAAAGTCATGACCCATGTTTGCAACAGATGGCACTAGTTCATTTTTGGAAGTACTAGAGTCATTTGCATCTATGTTATTGCTATGTCATTTAACAGCTGACAGTTCTAGCTTCATTCTAAAAAAAAATTGAGCAATTTTGTTGAGTTTTGGAGATTTTACAAGTTGAAGATGAAACTGTTTTACTTCCGTAAAGGGAAGAACACATATCAAGCTTGTGAAAAGCTTGCATAAAGTTTATGGTGACAATGTTCTACAAGAATATCAGTGCAAATGATGGTTCACAAAATTCCATGCTGGTGATTTTGACCTCAACAACGCTTCTCGGTCAGGGAGGCCCACCGAGGTTGATGATGACAAAATAAAGGCATTGATTGAGTCAAACCAACGTTACACAACACAAGAGATTGCACAAACATTGAACATCCATCATTCAAGTGTTCACGACCACCTGAAGAAGCTGGGATATGTAAACAAGCTCAATATTTGAGTTCCACATGAACTCAAAGAAGTTCATTTGACAACAAATATAAACATCTGCAATATGCTCATTAAACATGAGGAAAACGATCTTTTTTTGAAGCGACTGATAACTGGTGACGAGAAGTGGATTGTTTACAACAATGTGGTGCGCAAACGATCTTGGTCCCAATGTGATGATTCACCTCAAACATCGAAAGTAGACATTCATCAGAGGAAGGTTATGCTCTCAGTGTGGTGGGATTTTAAAGGTATTGTGTTTTTTGAGCTCTTACCAAGGAGCCAAACAATCAATTCGAATGTGTACTGTTGGCAATTGAGTAGTGTGAACGAATCCATCATCCAGAAACATCCAGAGCTTGTTAATTGTAAAGGAGTTGTGTTCCATGGTGACAATGTGAGATCACACACAAGTTTGATCACCCGTCAAAAATTATTGGAGCTTGGATGGGACGTGTTGCCACACCCACCATACTCACCTGACCTTGCGCCGTCAGACTTCCACTTGTTTCGCTTTCTTCAAAACTTCTTGCATGGTATAATGTTCAATTCATATGAGGCTGTAAATCAGCACCTTGTTTAGTTTTTTGCAAATAAAGACAGGTTCTTCTGTGAACAAGAAATTATGAAGCTCACTGAAAGATGGCAAAATGTTATCGAACAAAACGGGCAATATATCATTGATTCATCTTTGTTCTTTATATAAATAAATGACCTTTGAGAAACATAGACAAAATATGTCATGACTTTTCTGACAACCCAATAGTTGGTCAAGGATATGTTGTTGCTATTATAGAATCACTGAAACATTTAAGAGATTTCCCCTTATTTGCTGCATTTTAAATGAACATATTGAAAAAAAAAAAGATCCAAAATAAAAATTGGAGATACCTTAAGAACCTGGACTCTAAAGAGACAAGGTAAAAAAAAAAAAAAGTTAAGCATATAGCCTTTTAAATTCATGAAGAATAAGAATTTGCATTCAAAGAGAGGTGGTCACTATTTTGGTGGTGCCTTAAAATTCACCAAACCTAGTCAGTTGGACTCTGCCAAGAAAATGTTTGAAATGAGAATCAAAGCCTACTTCACTTGAGTGTGTCCCTGGAAGCCAGACTCACCTTCCCACAACCATAGTTCCCCAAAAACAGCACTTCCCCCTTTTCTCTCCAAAGGCACCTGGATCTCA